GGGGGGGGGTTGGCACAGACACTTTCTTTTTTCCTTGATGGGAAAAGATTTTGGAAAGTCTGTATATTTTGGACGTCTTGAAGATTTAAAGGATGCGTATCTTCACATCCTGATATATCTAGAGCGCTGCTGCCGCCTTCCAAGCATTCTTTTTAACCTATTTCTAGCATTCCTATTAAGTGGTTGACAATTAAAATTGTACTTTTTGCTTGCCATTACCTCAGCTTGAATTGTTGGAGATCTCCAGTCATTGTCTATTAAAGAGCCTTACCTTGTCATTCTCACTGATAGAGTAATCCTCAAGCCAGACCTTTATATTTGCCTGAGATATCTTCTGCATAGGTCCCAGGAGATTATTGTGCCTTTCTTTTGTGACCACCCACAGAATTCTAGGGAAGAGGCGTTCCATACTCTACATGTTAGACGCTATATTCTTAGATATTTCGAAGTTACTAGAATTTTTAGAAAATTCAGTCATTTTTGTTTTTTTCGCATTGGGACCTAGCTTTCGGAAGAAAAGTATTACAATGTGTAGTCTCGCCCTGAGAAGTTAGGCTTGCGGGTGTGCTTGCTTATACTCCCAGGTTGCTGTCCTGGAAGATGATTGGAGAAATGATCCGTTAGACTTTCCTGTAACGGTATTTCTATGAATCTTCCAGGATGGCAAGCCTACTTCCCACCCAGGGCTATTATTCTGTGTTCTTTTATTTAACTTGAGTAAAGTCCCCCCCCCGCACACTAGTACAGATAATCTCATTTTAACTCAACTGAGAGATGAGGGGTGTGGGTGGTGTTTTTAAACTCTTTACATTTGTGCTTCCTGTAGGAAGAGCCAGTCTTAGGTTGTCGTCTTGGATGATTCATAGCAATACTGTTACCCGTAAATAGGGATGCACCTGTACTAGTATTGGTGCCGATACAGAGTATTTGGGTGAGTATGAGAATGATACTTGCCTCCGATACCGAAACTTCCAGTCAGAGGGAGATCTCCCTCTTACCGGCAGTGCCAAGGGAGAATGGAGCAAGTTTCCTTTCCAATCAGGAAGCCGGGGCAGTGGGTTATGACCTGCCTCCTTGCTCCCTGATTGGCTAGGAAGCCAGCTTCACTTGTTGCTAGGCAGCCTGGCTTCCTCACCAATCAGGTGGCACGTAATGACCCGCCTCTCAGCTTCCTGATTGATCTGGAAGTCAGGCTGCCTAGAAACAAGTGAAGCTGGCTTCCTTGACAATCAGGAAGCTGGGTGGCATGTCATGACTCGCTCCCTGATTGGTCAGGAAGCTACGCTGCCCAGCAACCGGTGAAGCCGGCTTCCTAGGAAGCCAGACAGCACCTCATCACTCGCCTTCTGGCTTCCTGATTGGTCAAGAAGCCAGACAGCCTCAGCAAGTGAAGCTGGTGTTCTTTTGTTAGAACATCAGCTGCATGGGCTATCAGGAAGCAGGGGGACCGGTCATGATCTGCCGCCCGACTTCCTGATAATCGGGGCACACAGCATCAGTACTCAGTATCGTGGAGTACCGGGGAAAAAAATATCGATACCAAAAAAACGCTATCTGTGCATCCCTACCGGTAAGTCTAACGGAGCATTTCCTTTTTGTTGGAATACAATTTTTGTTTTGTATACTCCCTGGTTACTTTATTAGGTACACCTGTTCAATTGCTTGGTAACACAAATTGCTAATCAGCCAATTGCATGGCAGTAACTCAATGCATTTAGGCATGTAGACATTGTAAGGATGGTCTGCTGAAGTTCAAACTGAGCATCAGAATGGGGAAGAAAGGTGATTTAAGTGACTTTTAACATGGCATGGTTGTTGGTGCCAGACGGGCTGGTCTGAGCATTTCAGTAACTGCTGATGTACTGGGATTTTCATACACAACCATCTCTCGGGTTTACAGAGAATGGTCTGAAAAAGAGAAAATATCCAGTGAGCGGCAGTTGTGTGGATGAAAATGCCTTATTGATGTCCGAGGAGAATGCCTTATTGATGTCCGAGGAGAATGGTCAGTCTGGTTTGAGATGGGGCAACAGTAACTCAAATAACCACTAGTTACACTTGAGGTATGCAGAATACCATCTCTGAACACACAACACATAGAACCTTGAAGCAGATGGGCTACAGCCACAGAAGACCACACCGGGTGCCACTTCTGTCAGCTAAGAACAGGAAACGGGAGGCTACAATTCGCACAGGCTCACCAAAATTGGACAAAAGTTTGGAAAATCGTTGCCTGGTCTGATGAGCCTCGATTTCAGGTGCGACATTCGGATGGTAGGGTTAAAATTTGATGTAAGCAACATGAAAGCATGGATCCATCCTGCCTTGTATCAACAGTTCAGGGTTGTGCTGATGGTGTAATGGCGTGGGGGATATTTTCTTGGCACACTTCAGGCCCCTCAGCACAATTTGAGCATTGTTTAAACGTCACAGCCTACCTGAGTATTGTTGCTGACCATGTCCATCCCTTTATGACTACAGTGTACCCATCTTCTAATGGCTACTTCCAGCAGGATAATGCACTATGTCAAAGCTTACATCATCTCAAACTGGGTTCCTTGAACATGACAGTGAGTTCACTGTACTCCAATGGACTCCAGTCACCAAACCTCAATCCAATAGAACACTTTTGGGATGTGGTGAAACGGGAGATGCGCATCATAGATGTGCAGCCAATAAATCTGCAGCAACTGCGTGATGCTATCATGTCAATATGGACCAAAATCTCGGAGGAATGTCTCCAGCACCTTGTTGAATCTATGGCACGAAGAATGAAAGCAGTTCTGAAGACAAAAGGGGTCCAACCCAGTACTAGCAAGGTGTACCTTTTTTATAAAGTGGCCGGTGAGTGTAAATTGTGGTAGTTACTTTGGACTGATATGTACGTCCTGATGTATGCACATAACTTGCTTTGTATTGAGAAAAGAATGCATAACATCACTCGTCTGTATGATTTTGATAACTGAGCAGGCAATGTATTATCAAGTTCATTATTATATTTACAATATACTAGTCGGTAATGGGGTGTGTTTTCTTCAGGAACTTTTCAGTTGTGCAGAAAAATTAACACATGACCTGAATTTTTTTTAATTCTGTACTGTTTTGAGACTTTATTTTAGATTGTCTAAAAACCTTGTTTGGATTAGTTGAAGGAAATCTGTTCACTGACGTTCTTGCCCGTCCTGCTTTTTCTGTTCTTTTTCTTTTACCTTTTATACAGAATATTATGAAAACTGGCACTGTCATAGCCCTGAATGTACCTGTTTTCTCTTTGCACACAGGAGGGCAACCTCACAAAAGGAGAAGAGCATCTGAACCGCTTGAAATAGAAGACCGTTTGGAGTCCTTGATATGTAGAGTTGGAGAGAAGGTAACTTTTAGGTTCCAGTTAGTACTTTTCATATCTTCTTGAGGCTTCACTTTAGTCGGAAATGCAGTTAAGCGTACTGGTTACTAGTCTGTCAGCAGATGAATTAGAGCAGGGGTAGCCAAACTCTGGCCCTCCCAACTGTGGTGGAACTACAAGATTCTCACAGCCACAGACATGACTGGGGCTTGTAAAGCAGTTTATAGGGTCTTGGCATTCAGAAAATATATAATGTTGGGGGGTTTTACGTCATTTTCAGGCCTAAAATGTGGAATATAACATGGGTGCAAAAAATGAAAAAAGGGCCTCAGTCATGAAGGGGTTAAAGAACTCCAGGCAAAAATTGTATTGTCCCTTGCAGTGGGGCTATCCGTAGACTGCAAGGGTTAACTGCTCATTTTGGTCTAGGGCTGAAAATAACTTGCCTGATTAGGGCTGCAACAACAAATCGATTGAGAATAGTTGGCAACTATTCTCATTATAGATTAGTTTGGGGGGGCGG